CAGCACAGACTTCTGTGAAATATCATATATATTATCATTCTGTATTCGTCGTAAGTTTGCATTATATACCTCTGCACTTCCTGAGGTGTATTTACCATACGTTGCTAACAGAGGTAGGCAAAGCATTATCACATGAGAACTAATTTATTTACAAAGCTGTGGGAGTTGGTTTTGCTACTGCCTATGAGGTTGGACTTGTCACCATGCCTGGAAGCGAGTTAAAATTGTTCTAAGCAGGATCTGGAGATCTGAGTACTACAAGGAGGCATAAATGCATGTAGTAATTGTTTTGCGAGAAACTGCAGAGATTCTTCCCCGACTGAACTAGCCACCCTGTTTCTCAAAGCTGTTAAATTATCCTTTGCTGAGCTGTTCACATTTGTGAGGACTGAATCAGCAGCAGGACAAGCCATATGTTAGCCTGATCTTGTAAAGTGCTGGGCAGCCTGAGCACCCTGGTGAGGCTTAGCTCCTCTCACCTTTGGCTTCATGTTTCCAAGCTCTTTAATAAGCAAACCTAAGCCTGTAGGACTGTCACATTTACTAGATTGCTGGAGAGCTCTGTTGTGTAGGAAGATGATGTGCACATGTAGACAGAGCTGCATAAAACTTGTATCAAGACCCAAATCCTGCTGTGCTGTGCTTAGTTTTGAAGGTAAATGTGTTCCCTAGTTCTAAGAAGATGAGAAGGCTGCAACTGCCTTGTAGACCTGCTTCTTCAACCACCTAGCTGTTCATTGTTGTTTTCTCGTTTATGAGGTATTGAGCTTTCCCAGATATAAGTTAAAATTTATTATATGTCATCCTGTATGTACAGAGTGCATGAATAAATTCCTTTACCAGTATCTTACTTGTTTACATGAAGAAGCCTTTGGCAGTGCTGTGTGCTGGTTACTTGCAGAGTTTTAAAAATGCCAGCTTTAGCTGGAGTAGGAAAGTAGCTTTGCAGAAAGCTTGATTATACTAGGATTGGAATTGAATGTGCTAGAATAGCTCTCTGTCTTTAGAAGTTAATTTATAGCTCAACTTAATCCTTTACATGCCCTCAAATCTGGAGTCTGTTAAACAACTGTCAGTAGAAATATCTTCTGACTTCAGCCTACTAGCCCTCAGAGTTTATTTTGGAAAAATATGAAAAGAGACTCTGAAAAGTACTGGACTGCGTCACTAGTAAATGGTTAATGACACAGAGATTTTTTTACAAATGGGTTACAGAAAAAAACCACGCTGTCTTCTGATGGTATGAACAGCTTGATGAATAAAGGTGATAATGAAGAAGGTGGAATCAACCCAGAAAAATCACATGCCTTTGCTCTGGCACTAGATTAGAAAATAACGGTTGGACATTTTCTTGCTGATTTATTTGGAGGCAGGATGAGGTACTGAAATAACTTGAGAATTAAACAATGTTTTTTAATCTGTTGGTTTTTTCATTTCTGCTGGATTAATGCTAGATTCAAGACATCACTTTCATTGCCTTATCTATGTGAACTGGTGTTAGTGAACTCTATAAAAATATTTTCCTAGGACTACCATGCCCTAGCATGCCAGCCAAGGTTAAAAAAATAAAATAAAAAAGTCAGCACATCTGGAACTGTAACTGTTTGCTCGATACCTATTCGCATACAGTCCTTACTTTTTCTAGTATACTTCTTTACATTAGTGCTGCAATGTTTTCTCTGCTAAGTAAAATCATCTAATGAAAACAAGTGTATTTGTGAGGCCCAGTACTGGCTAATTTTGCCTTCATTTAGAATACTTGGATACTTGTTCAGGATTTTATTGGGTTTCTTCCTGATACATCATCTCATCTGTAGCTCTCCCCTCTGGAAATGTTTGATGAACTGTAAAATGTCAAAGTAATTTGGAAGAAGTGTGAGCAGGCAGTCAGGGTTGTATAGTAGCTTTTCTTTTGCTGTAGTGGACTGAATTTAAGTCACTTTGGGATGAAAAAAATGAATGTTGCTGTGCTCCGTGGGAAAATGTCTTGGAAATAGATTAAAACCTGTTAAAATAATTAGCCTGGATTTAGTGAATCTGTCAATTGAAGCAATGCAAATAACTTCTAAGTGTTGAGACTGATTAGCACCAGTGGAGGGGGTGGAGGAGGCTGATTAGGAAGAAATGGGAGGAGGATTAAACCAAACTTTCCCAGATTAGTGTGTTCAGCAATGCAGTATTACCACTAGGTCAGCAGAGCACGTTGCCGGCTTCCTGTTCCTTATGCAATGTGGCTGGGTTTCAATTAGCTGACTTACTTTGCTTAGTTTACAACTGTTTTGGGGCGAGGGTGTGCGTTTCGTTGTTGGTTTGTTTGTTTTTTTTCCCTAGTGATCTACTGAATGGTTTTGTATCTCTAATGGGAACAAAGTCTGACAGAGATTGGGAGGGAGGATGAAGGACCCGGGGTAATGCTTTCAAACAGGCAGGACTTGAGTATCAAGCTTGTTCGTGGTTCTGACACGAAGAACTAAGCCTTTAAATGAAACACATGACCTGCTGGCCTCAGTGTGATACCAGTGATGTGTGGAACTGTTGTCTCAAAATCCCAAAGTAAATTTTATGTCAGGACCTCCCAGCAATTTATTCTGTACCTGGAGCATGCCGTGAATGTCTGCTCAGGGTCAGTACATGAGTGTTGTCACCCGATCATACACTTGATATGATGTTGATAACTTACATCTCTTTGAGATGCTGAGGGTTTATGTATTCCCCTGTTAGCCTGTCACATACTGAAGAGGGCTCCTGGGGAGTGGTGATCACTAGATGCCTCTTCCATACACCTCTTTGCACTGCCTAGCCTCACACTGCCTCACACAGATGAGTAATGGTGCTCTTTCTTACTCTTTGGTTATCAGGTGAGGAAACTGAAGGTCTGGTAGTCTTTAAAAACCAGACTGGTGGAAGCTTTGAGGGTGGCTCACACAAAGCAAGAGGATGCCTTTGATATCGGCCCGTTATTCTGAAGCTTCTTTTAGTGTTAGCAGGTTTAAGCCAGAAGCAGTTATTTTCCAAATTTAGAACGGACCACATGGTTGTGGACTTTGCAGGAATAAGTTATCTGAAAGAAAAAGGGAAAAAAGAGGCACATTACTAACACTCAATTAATTTCAAAAGATTTCTCTTGCTGTGACCCAGCTGTACAACTGGCAGATGGTGTCACAGCTGCTGTGTGAGAACTTGGTCTTCTTGCAGTGCTTACTCAGTGCTATCTTTGAGGTTGTGTTCATGAAAAGGACCTCTGATTCTTTTTGTAATCTTAAATTCATCTTTGGACTCTGCACACATGCAAACCAGCCCTGTGGTCATCAGTCCACACAGAAGGAGTCTCATCCTTCCTGTCATCAAGTCATTGCTTGCTGGCTCCCCCTTGGACAGTGGCAAAGGCTCTCAGATGTTCTTACAGCCTGGGGGCAGGTAGTTGAGGCTCATTCCTGTCCTTGCTTGAGCCCTTAACAAGGTTTGTTAGTTTGTTATGAGGCACAACATCCTGTTCCATCCACTGGCTTGGGAAATAACTTAAATGGTGAGTGTTTGTATAAAGCTTTTTTGTGTAAAAAAATAGTGTCTGCGTAACCAACGTGTAAATCTGACGTGGATCCTTGGCATTATTGTTGTACCAAAGGGCAGCACACGTGGTCTGAGAAACCATGAGCTGGGAATAGTCACCAGATGTACGTAACCTTGAGTTGGGACCCGTTCTGAGTTTGGACTCAGTTCTGAGCCCTTGTTTGTACTTTGGAAGGCCTCCTCTCTCCCATCTGCAGCCACCTCTGAGCATTATCACCGTAGCATTGTGACATGGTCAGAATTAGCTCACTCCCTTTTCCTGCCATGTGTCACATGCAGCTGCTCTTGCCTAGGCTGTGGCTATGAATCGTCGTTCTTTCTGAGCTCTTGGGCACACTTAAGGCTCTGGCTTAGCATTTGGGCCTTGCTGTCTGTATTAAACCCTCCTTCCTAGCACACCAGGAGGGCGCAGAAGCACGAGGCTGTAATGCAATGTGTCAGAGGTGGCATCAGGCCAAAGTAAAGGGTGTTTCAGAATCTCAGTCCCAGCTCATTAACTGTGCTGTGTTCTGCCTGCTCAGGATGACAGAGGATGGGGAGAGTACTAACTGAGACCTTGTTTTAATGGTTTTCTGCTGGGGTGCATAAACCATAAAGGATTTATGCATGAAGGGTGCTATTAAAGCAGCTCAGAGGTTGCTCAGAGTTCTACAAACTCTCTATGGCCTTATGTATTTGGGAAGAGGAATAGATTATGTTAAGATGTAAAATGAAATTGGAAGAAAAGTAATTTGCTGCATTACTGAGGAAAAGAAGGATCTGACAGGGGCTAAGATGGATCCCAGTTTCTCCTTCCCCTTTTTCTTTTATTCCAGCTTTGTCTTTGTTAACAAATCAGGAACAGTGAAGCTGATGTACTGTTGGTAGGAATACATCGAGTAAAGATGGACATATCCGAATGCTTCTCTGTTTTTTTTTCAACTGTGAGGCAAAATTGTACAACATCCCTACAAGTCTTGCTTTGTGTGAGCACATCTTAAGGATGTGTGTGCTGTCAGCGGCCAGTCTAGCCCTGAGAATACAGAACTATGTGCTGTGTCAGCTTAGAGCACTGTAATTACACCAGTGCGTTCCCCGAGCGTGATGATTAACTAGTATGAAACATTCTTATGCTGGTATGACAGCTTACATGTTTGAGGTTGTTACAGTTTGGGGTATTTTGGGGGGTGAGGGGGAACCCAAGCCCCAAATTAAACCCCAAATCCTACCTCTATTCAAAGTAATTAAAAAAACTGTGTATTGATTAAGGGTGAAGTGTACTTGTTACTACTGCTTCTCTGTGCAGGTATTTTGGGACTGATTGTTTACGTATGACTGAATGTTTGTGTAAGTAGATGGAGATTCAGTCAAGAAGCTGGTAATAAAGTAGTAGTAACAGCAGAGCTAAAGACCTTTCATTATTTCTATTAACACGTCGCTTTTGTTTGTAGAATGAAATGTGTCTGGCCACACAGCAGCTTTCAAAGCAGCTCCTTGCCTATGAAAAGCAGGTATGCTCAACATATGATTTTGATTTCTCTTCACACTCAGCACTTGTGAAGCAGTCTGTGTCAATAATGTGATATCCAGAAGTGTATTTGCTTTACTTGGTCTCATGTGAAAACTGTTGTCAAACTCCCCAGGATGTTCAAGGGAGTTAGGTCACTTCTGAGAATCTTAGCAATTAAGAAAAGAAAGGGCAAAGTGTGATTTACTAAATGTATGAAGATGCAAATCAGTCTGTTTCTATTGTATGACTTTAAAATCAGGATAATAAGTATTAACTGTATGTTGTCCACAATCCTTTAATTTAAAACAAGAGGAGCAGGATAAAAGAATATGTATTAATGAGTTGCAAGTTTCCATTTAGTTTTATTGTTTCTTGCATTTTGTAGTAATATTCATTACCCTTGTAGTAAAACACATGTTGTATTTTATACTCATCTTTATTGATTTATAGTCTGAATTTGTGTTTCTATTTTCAGCATTTTGCCTTAGGTAAAGGAGATGAAGAAGTGATATCCACCCTTCATTACTTTTCAAAAGTTGTGGATGAGGTAATTCAAATTGCCAATATCCTCTTTTTACAATGTATTGATGTTTTTTCTTTTGGTCTTTGTCCTTCTGATTCAGAGCCTTTCTACTGAAGGCTAGATTGTGCCTAGGCTTTATAACACCGTTTAACTGGGGATAAAGTTTAAGTGTAATGTCACCCTTTTGTAATGGTTAGAGCTGTTCCCGTGGCTTCACCCAACATGCTGTCCTCAGAGCAAAGCTGAACTGGGGGAATTAGAAAAGAGACTGAAACAAGACATGTCATCTATGCTGGGGCCATTCTTTTAATTAATTCCATTTAGAAACGACACACTTTTAAGCTTTAAACACTGCAGTTTGAGCCAAAACTTGCCAAGGATGGATGCCGGGCAGCTGTGAATTCATAAAGTTGTGATTTCATTGCTGTGAGATCACACAGAATCCAGAGGTGTCTGAGACAGGCTGCAGAAATGCAGGTCAGGTTCTACAGGTGTGTGCATGGAACACTTCTGTGCCCTGTAGGCTGCTGCTCAGTGCTGGGAGTCTCTCTAAATGCTTGTGTTGGACCTGCCCATATAACATTTCAATATAATCTTAGTATCTAGGTCCTCATTGCTTAATTGTCATTTGTAACATCCCTCTTTCTGTTGTGAGCACGGCTGTGCAATCTGAAAAGTGTTGTTCTTCTTGTTAGTCTGCTTTCAGCTATCGTTAAGAAGGCACATGGCTGTACTGAGGTCTGCTGTTTTGGAGAGGGAAGGAGATAGAGTTGTGGGACAAAGAATAAGTTAGAAGCTTTGGAGCCCATGGATAATTCTAACAATACAGTGAGAGGAATCCCAAAGGTTAATTTTTCCCCTTAGGCTTCTACCACTGCACGTGTGCTCTCAGGGCATACTTGAAAAGAGCATTTGTTGTGACAAGTCTTGTGCCTGTCTCTGTGAACTATGAATAAATCAAACGAAGAACTTCCTCCTTCCTGGGCACAAGAGAACCGTCCCATTTGGGAGCAGAAATCTGAGAGCCTCTATGTTCAGCTCTGTCCATCACGTTTGCCCCCGCAAGAACCTGTGCCGTTCCTCAGGCTCCTTTCCTGTAGGTTACCTGCCCCCTGTACTCGTTTCTCAGTTGTCTGTTTTACACAGGCATTGATTTGTTTAGTTTTGTATCATAGAATCACAGAATGGCCTAGGCTGGAAGGGACCTTAGAGATCATCTAGTCCAACCTCCCTGTCATGGGCAGGGACGCCTCTCAACTAGGTCAGGCAACACATGGGGATCGAGCGGGGAAAAAAAATCATCTGGTGGGAAATTCTGCCTTCATCCTCACCTGCACAGCCCTGCCTAGGAGGAGCCTCCGGGATACCGGGAGTGAGTGGGCAGAGCATCACGTCAGCATGTGGTGCGCTCCCGGGTTGTAGGATCAGGCACTCAAGAAGCGTGATCGATGGTTGTGCGACCTGAACTCACCTCATATTCATAGCGTGCCGCCGCTGACGTGAGAGCACTGCCTTCATCCAAAACAGCATCACGCAGGTGCTTTACAGTCTGTCTCAACATGCTGAATTTTAGAGAAACAAATTAAAAAAAAAAGGAATGAGCAGCTGCTCTGAACATAGAAAAAGGGGGAGTGTCGGGAGGACGGAGCCAGGCTCTTTTCGGTGACATCCAATGACAGGACAAGGGGCAATGGATACAAGCTGGAGCGTAGGAGGTTCCACAAAAATATTAGAAAAAACATTTTCACTGTGAGGGTGCCAGAGCACTGGCACAGGCTGCCCAGGGAGGTTGTGGGGTCTCCTTCTCTGGAGACATTCAGAACCCGCCTGGACATTTTCCTGTGTGACCTACTGTAGGTGATCCTGCTCTGGCAGGGGGGCTGGACTAGATGATCTTCTGAGGTCCCTTCCAGCCCTTGACATTCTGTGATTCTGTGAAATAGGAATGAGACTGGTTGTTGTGGTTGCCCCCTGTTGTGATTGTGTGCTGGGTAACTCTCAGGAATGGAAAGAGATTCTAGTCATGGTGCTGGGACTGTAACGCTGTGGTGTAGAAACTAACGAAAACTGGCTAATAAAGGCTAATTACAGATTAAATCCAGTTGGGTGAAGCACTAGCATTAATGGCCAAGTGAACTGCTCTAATACGATGTGTGGGAAGTGAAAAGTTCTTGGATACTTGGAGAATACTGGGCAGGAAGTAAGCGTTTAGGGGAAAATCTATCTCACGTATCTTGTGAAATGTATTTTAAGCACCGAAGTACATTGAATGACACAATAACCCTTATTTTTTGTCTGCTGGAAAAAAAAATGGCAGGTGTGCTTCTTCAACAGCTCTAAAGTGCTATTATTTTTACTTGTTTTTATTTACACTGTTTCTTAGGGCATCCCTCTGTTCTCTGTTTCAGCTCAATATTCTTCATTCTGAACTGGCAAAACAGCTTGCAGATACAATGATTCTACCAATAATACAATTTCGGGAAAAAGATCTGACAGGTAAATTTTATTTTAAGTTTTAATTTCCCTCATATTCCTTCTTGCTTATTTCATAATAAACTGAGACATAAATGTCATGTATAATTTGTTCTTTGATGATTCACAGAAAGGATTTAGTGGTTGGTTTGGGGTTTTTTTCAGCTACGGAATTCCATTGACAGGTCCATGCTTTTACTCAAGACTTTAATTGTGCAAGTTCGCCACGTAACATTTTATGCACCATATGGTGCAAGTCAGAAAATAGGCAGCTTTGTTCCGTGGTGGGTCACTGCTCTTTCAAGAGTGTAGTTTTACTGAAGTCGTTGATGATACAATGGCCTAAAGAAGGAAAATTTAGCAGTGAATCTGGCTTGCAAACAGCATTTATCCCACTTCAAAAGTTACACTTTGTTTGAAAAACATAAGCAAGAATGCTTTTTCAACTTCAGAATGTAGTGTATTCTTTCCCTTTTAATGGATTAACTCGCTTAAAATCCTTGCCATTCAGGGATAATTCCAAGTAACTTGATTGCACAAACTTGGAAATTCTTTCCTTAAACAGCAGAGCAATAATGCAAACATTTGGTGTAATTTCAAAAGGAAGAAGCTCATATTCAAGGTCAAGGACACCAACCTACTCATTCAACAGAAACACAAGTTTTTACTGCAGTGTTTTCTTTTTTTCTTAAAAAAATAAAGCACCTGCTTCTCAATTCACCAAGTTCAGTCCTGTTTATGTACTTTTTAAAGACATTATTTTGATGGGAGACAAAACTAATACAGCAAAATATTGACTAGTTAAGATTCCTTATATCATCTCATTTGAAATTGTGAAGATGTCAATGAATGTCATGTTTATAGTATGATGTCAGATAAAAAGCAGTATTTGGATGGTAAGGTCTTGGTTCTATTAACACTTTCTGACCTCTTCAATGTGGCTTCACTGGTACCATGATTCTGCGCCCATCTTGATGGATCCTGACTCCCAGTTCTTAATAGAAGACATAAACAGAAAATGCACGTGAAGCCTGCAACCAAAGCCTCAGCTGCTTCATGAAAGAAAAAATTTCTTCAGATTTCTTGGATGTCAAAAGCTTTTATGTTCCATCTATCCATCACAGCCTCCATTCTTCTCTGATACAATCTGTAGAAAAGCATTTCTAGTAGAGACCATATTGAAATTTTATCGTGGGATTAAACAAGGAAGATTAACTGTTCTTTTTTTAAACTTTTGATCTTGTTATGTATGTGTACTGAATGCTGTAGAAACCTTTAGGTACAAGTAGCCACACCTGGAAGAAACTTCTATCGTCCTGGGTGTCGGAAGTGTTTTGCAGAGAAAAAGGTGGCAGAAAGCTGATTAATGTGTAGGTTGTTAGAAGTAGTCAGAAACCATGGTGACACTGTACGATTTTCTTATTCTTTTCACAATCCCATATTGTCTGTTCTTGTGAATGTAGCTTTTTGAGGAGGATTTTGCCAGTTGCAGCAGAGGTTGATGTTGGCACTGAGAGTAGTACCTTTTGCTCTAAGTTTGTAGAAGTTGAGTTGTCTGTTTAATTTCCCTTCTGCCTGCATCAGAATCTCGTGGCCAGTGTTCGTTATGTGAGCAGTCAGATGTGTTAGCTGCATATTTCTTCTCACAGAGAAACTTGGCAAAAAGTGTTCCATGTTGGTGGAGATTCGTACACAGGAAAGGGGCTTGACATGAATATGTCTCTGGGACTCAGATTTCTTGGTATCACATAAGCACTGGCAGGAAGTTGTTTGGAACTGCTGGTCTTTTATGATAGCAGTGGACACTTTGGAATAACGAGGACACTGAAGAGGCACTTCTTTGGGTAAATTACCCTGGCAGATAAGGAATCTTTCTCATAGTGGTGACTTGGTAAACTCACCTGACTCTTAATTTGCTCTCTGCTTGTTCATTTCTCCAGCAGCTGATCTGGTTTATCATTTTCAAGACAGGCACAACTTGTACATCTCTGCTTTGAAAGAATTGAAGTGACTTAGGCCTTAAACATGCCATAAATGGTCTCCGTTGAACAAAGAGTTGACAGCTGATTTTACTTTGAATATCTGATTTCTCTTTTCCAGAAGTAAGCACATTGAAGGATCTTTTTGGCCTTGCTAGCAACGGTATGTTTCTCTATTTTATTGTTTCTAACGGTGTGCACCTGTTATGTCACAGAAGACATTTTTAATCCGCGTGCACACACACATCTCATTTCTAAAAAAAAATAATATTCCTTGTCTACAGAACATGACGTGTCCATGGCAAAGTATAGCAGGTTACCGAAAAGGAAAGAAAATGAAAAGGTAACAAACGTGAAAGGGAGGAGGAAAAGTTTTCATCAGCTGTACTATCTGCATCATTATTCACTTATGAACTTCAGAGGGTTCACCAGTTAAATTCACAGTAGCTCAAGAGTACTTGTGAATGTGTTTCCAAGCAGACACAAAGCTTCAAAACATCAGTTCAGCAAAGTTACACCTGTTTACTCCAAGTTAGGCAAGCGATGAAGTATTGTACTGAGCTGGAGCCCTTCAGATCCAGGGGAGGTCTTCAGACAGAGGCAACCCAAATGGCTATAAATAGATTTGTGTAGGCCTGCTGTTGTGCAGCTGATGTGACGATCCTGTGTCACTGGGTACAATTCATTGTGAGCCGTCATGAAGCGTTGTGTCTGCTGCTTATAAACACTTATAAAGCATTCCATTTTTTCGCATCTGCCTTCCTCCTAAATTTCTCTGTATGGATTGTCATTCCACTTTCGGTACACGTAGCTGCTTTAGTGGGATTGTTTAACATTTCTTCTTCTTTGCCCACTGTTCCAAAATACCTCCCGGTGTGCCAAAAAGTGTGTGATTTGCCCTATCCTTGGAGCGAATCAGTTCTGCAGGATAGTCCTTTAAAGGAAATGCATTACAGAACAGAATGTGGTACAGCATATTGTGAATTATTTATCTCTGAATTCTGCACTTACAGGCTTGTTTTGTGATCTCAGCTGCAAATAAATTACTTGCACTGAGATCGAATCCAGAATTTTAGTCATGGTAGTTACGTAATTTATAGTCACAGGGGCTCCCCAAATGCTTAAGTACCCTGCCGGAGAAGGGCTTGAAGTACTTGCTTTGGGGTTTGAATTTCCTTTCGTTGTTTCTCATCCTTCATTTTAATGTGGAGAAATTCTGTAATGAGAGTTGTTTAAAGATAACCTGAAAATAATTAGTAAATATATCTGTGTGCGCTATATTCCTGCCAACCTCTTAATTTTATTCAGCTTAAGGCAGAAGTGGCAAAAGAAGTGGCAAATGCAAGAAGAAAGCAGCACCTTTCATCTCTGCAGTATTACTGTGCCCTGAATGCTCTGCAGTACAGGAAGAGAGTGGCAATGATGGAACCTATGCTGGGATATACACGAGGACAGGTATGGACAGCAAAACATCTGTATCACTTAGAGGTGTCCCTGGGAAAAGTAAAACATTGCAGCTCTGGATTTTTATTTTTTTTTTGAGAACCGACAAATGGTAATGGGAGAAAAAAGCCTTTTATTCAGCTTGCCTGGGTTCTAGCAACTGATTTTGTTTGTGACAGATAGTTGAATGTTTAGGTATTTGGGAAAGACACGAATGGAAAAAAGCACAATACATTTATATGCAAAATCAGCCTTGTGTTAATTTTTTCACGGCTAAGCTATCAGTGCAGCAGCATTTACTTCCACTGTTTACTCTGTCTGCACAAACTCTCCTATGTAGCAGTTCCCTTCCTGGCACATAATGTTCAGCATACTGATGAGGAGCAGTGACGATAGGGAACAGAGCATGCACTGGAGAAGTGGAAAGACAGAACAGTAGAGTGGATTGAGCATAAGGCTGGCAAATCCTCTTTGTAATCTTTATTCTGGTGGCAATTTGATGGAGCATTTCTCAGGTCTGTAAAATGTAGTAGTAATACTGATAATCTGACTCTCCAGGATGTCAGGAGGATCAGCAAACTAGTATTTTTGCAGCACTTGATTCTTACTGCCATCCATTTTAAGGGTCTGTTGTACTGTGACATTGATGAAAGAAAACACAGGGAAAATGGGAATTTGGCTGTGAAAACAAAAAGTGGTTGCAGTCTGTTTGCGACTGTAGTGTGGATCATCCTCTCTGTTGTCATGGGTCTTTTGCTGATTGCGCACCCTGTAGAAAATAGGTAATAAATGAGAATTCAGTCACTTTCACCACCGTGGGAGTTCACAGTGCTGCTCTGCTGTAATTGTACTGAGAGAACTGCATGGATTTCCTTTACTGGAAGCCAAATAGAGCTTTCTTTCCTTGTATTTTGTCTGGCAAAACTGCTATATCACAGTGCTTTTATACAGGAAGGTCTTAGGTTGTCATGGCAATGACTTAGTAGCCAGAAGTCAGTTGATATTTGTGCTCAAATACTGTGTGAACTGCCCTTCAGCCCAAGTACATATTTTCTTTATTAATTACTCAAAACATGTCTCTCATATTTCAGATTTCCAAAGAATAAGCAGGCCATAAAGGATTTTTGGAGGAAGCAGTGACTAATACAGGGTTTATTTGTCTGAAAACTGACATCAACATGTAAGCTAGGCATGTCAGTCTATCATCAGTGGAACTCAGAGCTCTTCCCTGCTGAAGTAGGCTTCTGAAATAGAGTAGGTGAATCATTCTTTAAGAGAGCCTGCTTTTTCTCCTTTGTCTGTCGGAGTCTGTGGTCAATAACCTGGTCGGAGAAATCTGAGTTACAGGTAAGAAGAATCCGACGTGCCAAGCTTAGGGAGAAGCAGTGAAATCACAAGTAAAATTTGATGGAAGAGCTGGTAAATTGCTTAACAGACAAGATTTTGTTTTCACATCTCTTTCTGGAGTAGTTCACTGATTTGGTTTGTTTTTAAAAAAAGCTAGTTAATTGTGCATACGTGCTAGCTGTGCCCGTTTCACAGGGGTACCAGTAGGTCCCAGCAATGACTGTGGGCCCCACTGCAGGTAATCCAAGGTCAAATCTACACTGAGTGCTTTACTGCCGTTGTGTGTCTGCTGAGCCATACCAGCTAAATAAATTCATCTGCTGTCACAAAATGTGCTCTTTGGCCTTCGCAGCGTTTTTTTTTTTTAACTCCTTTGATAAAATAAAATTCACAGCAAATCCATAGTTGATAGAACTGATTGCCCCGGAAGCTTTTGCTGGTGCAACTACACTTCTTGTCTTCCTGACTGACTTTGCTGTAGCAGTTTGAAGATTTCTGGGTTGGAGTTGGTACTCCAGGTTGGATTACGAAATCTAATGGATGATTTATGTCCCATGCCTTTTGCTACTGTGGCGTTGCACATGGTGGCTTGTAACCCCGCTAGACCCAATTCTGCACACTGCTTGTATGAGAGAAGGCTGCCTTTTCACTTATTTAGCAAGTTCATTGCAAACAATGTTCCTGTCAGCAGCCAGGAGCTTCTGTGTGTGTGAAAGGGTGGAAAGCTGCAAAAGCAAGAAATGCAAAGAAAGGCAGCACGGCTGTTTTAACTGTCTGTTTGGTCGTCAGCCCCAAGTATTGGTCATAAGGGGATCGCTGTTAACAGTCCCCGCAATCTGCTGCTTGTCTGCTGAATCAAGTTAACTTCCAGTGTCCGTTTTCATGTATTTTTTTCAGATAAACTTCTTTAAGAAAGGATCAGAAATGTTTTCCAAAAGGATGGACGGCTTTTTGTCTTCTGTTTCAGACATGGTTCAAAGGTAACGCAGTACTTTCGTTTGCTCCTTTTGTTCCATTGAATTCTGAGCAACAGCTCTCTTGGGCAGCACGTAACCGAGGGTGCCTCTGTTTCTTTCTTATGAGACTCCTTCCGTGCTTTCTTTGCGTTGTTGGGCGTATTTTGTTAAAGCAGCAGGTGGCGAGGAGGTATGTTTGTACATGAAGAGAAAAATGCCGTCAGTGCACCGCAGAGAGTATTTTTACAGTGCAGTCAGGAGCATTCACATGCTTTTCTTTTCACTGTATCTCTTTACAGACACAAAAGCATGCAATTTGGGCTTGAAAGGTGTTAACAGAATTAAAATAATAGAGCTAAAGTGTATTCTGAATTACAAGTATTTATACTTGCTTAGTCTTCTGTAATAGCACTGTAACAGTAATCCATTAACCTTTCAAATAAGGGTTTAGGGGCTGTTAGTGTTTGATGTTGTAGCTACACAAGACAAATAAAACTCCTTGCCCTAGAGAACATATTCATTGCACCCAGGGTAGGTTGCATCAGTCCACTGAGTGCAACCTGCTTTGGCTAAGTCCTTATTTAAATAAATTGCTCTCTTGTACTCCTAATTTTGTGATTATTTTTTCTTACATGCCTGCCCATCCCCATCATCCTTTACTTGTAGTGAAGACTGATGTTTTCTTCATGTCCTAGTTTGAGAGTACCAGGATAGCTCTCAAACCAGAACATTTTATAACTAAGTCCCTTCAAATGTAAAATTTACATTAAAAAAGTAATCATATGTCATTTATTTTAAATCACCTGAAACACTATACTGAGTCCTTCACTTTACTGCTTCATACCTTTCATATTGGACTAGAGCCAAATCATTACTTATTCTGACTCCAGTGAGATTTTTAAATAATGCATACTCGTTAATTTGAGAACAGTGTTATAAGCAGTTGCCCTGTGTAGTGAATTCCCTTTATTTAGTAAGGCTGGAGCATCTTGCTTGTGTCTTACAGGCACAGTGAGGATCCTGCCACTGGATTCTCACCGTGTAATCAGCTCTTGTTTTCCAGGGTCTAAGGGATTTGAGTTCTAGATAGTACACAGTAGTAAACGGAAGCAAAAATAGGCTGCTCACTTGCTTTGCTGAGTGTGTGTTTTGTATTTTAAGTCTGTCACACAGCAAAGCTTCAGAGTACAGTTCAAATGTAACTAGTACAGGAGCGTGACGTCTTTAGAAAGGGCGAAAGAGAAGCTTGCAGAATTCTGAACAATACTGATGCTTAACTGCCACAGGACGTGCTTTCCTGACTTGAGATTACACAGCCACTGAAACCCGTGCTGCCCACTCCTTTCCTTCTTTAGTGCTGGGGATCTGAGGCCGCGGTGAGTCAGATCTGCTCGCTAATCAAGCGAAAAGCTTTTTATTTGTCAGATTTGTTTTCCTTGAACAGCAAGTTGATGAGGCCCATTGTGCAGCTAGAGAATTTCAGCAGTGATGTAGTCTTGCACCTGTTTAAGCTGATTGTGGAAACTGAGTCTTCATATTTAAAAGGATTTTCATTTATACAGCAAATATTGCTAACTGTGAAAACATGTAAGAGAAGACAGATCACAAAAATATTGCCAATTGGTCTAATTGCCATAAAGGCATATAATTTCAGAACTCTCAGTTTTTCTCTCCTTTCTGCCTCAGAGATAGGGGCAACACACCTTAGGAAGAGGAATCCAGCCTTGGGACCCATGGAGGTGCCAGGGCAGTTTTTTTGGAAGCAATTTGCAGTGCAGCAAAAATGACTGATCAGAAGGTTCATTGAAGTGGCACTTATGTGGAAACTGACAGCACTGTTACATTTGATTTCACAATGGAATTTAAATAATTAATATTCTGACATTTAATGATAATTTTTAAAGGCACTGTATTGCAAAATACAGTCTAATTTAATTCAGATCTGATGATATTACACAGCTTTTGTAACTCAGCCTCTCATATGACTTGGCTGTAAGATGCACACAGCTGGTCTCATTTTGGAGGCGATGGTGGAGCTTAGAAAGTCCTGACGTTCTAAAAGTTGAGCAAAAGCTGGAAACAAGTTAACATGAAACAGTCTAACACTGTGATGGAGGGGTGACTCCTCATCTGGCTGGTCAGTTACTGCTTAATGATGTCTTAAATGCAGCAATATGTCTCTAGATCAACAGTTAAAGGATATTACCAACTTCTACAAGAGACTGAGGAGAATGGGGGGAAGAATTGTATGTACTTGCCTTGTACCTTTTCACAGATTTGTTGCCTCTGTCGGAGACAGAGTATTGGACTACATTGATCTCTGGTCCTGCTCTGTACAGCTGCTGTTATGTGGTCATGTCAAAAGGTTCAACCAGTTGGGCAGGAAGTAGGGAGAAAATTGCTTATTGCTTAGGGACAGGTGTTCATGGCTTTCTAAAGCATGCAATGACAAGTGCTCTTACGTTCCCAACCCGTGAGTTTTCCTAGTAGCCTGGGTACCGTTAATAACTCCTCAAGTTTGGAGAAGGTAATAAAGACATCAAATATTTGCTAGTATTGTTCCACTGGAAGTCAAAGAACAGCTGCTGCAGTATGGACCTTGAGAGGTCGTCTGGTCCACTCTCCTGAGCAGAGTGCTTCACACTGTGTCCAGTCAGATGGTGAGCATCTCTGTCTGTCTGTCTCTCACACATGGCACACACAGTATCTGGTTACAGCTTGTTTCCTGCACCCCTCAGGAAGGGTCTAGCTCCATCTGCTGTGTGCTCTCCCATCAGGTAATTAAGCTGGCAGGAAGACTCCCCTTTGGCTTTCATTTTGTGAGGCTGAAAAAGAGTTCTCACAGTTTCTTCTCATGTCACTTGTTCTGGCCCCCTGGCCACCCTGGTGGCTCTTCAGTTGACTTTATTTCTGTCTGTCTTGCATGTGCTGGGGCACCAAAACCAGACGCAGAACTCCTGTCAGAGTCTCACAAGTGCTGAACAGATGGGAATGATTATTTCATTTGAGCCTCTGGCTCTGCTTTTGCGCCTGCCCCCAAGGATGTGACTGTGCTGCTGCTGGCTCATGTTCAGCTTGTCCTCTAGGACCCCCAGGTCCTTTGCTGAAAGTTGCTTTTTACCCTCCCATCTTTTACAGTTGCATGAGGTTTTTTCATCCCAGGTGGGGCTTACTATTTGTCTTTGCTGAACTTCCTAAGGTTCCTGTCTGCCTGTTTCTGCAGCCTGTCAAGGTCCCTCTGAACAGCAGCCCTCTCCTCTACCCAATCTGTCAATCACTCTTCCCAATTTAGTGTCATCTGCTCCTGTGGATTGTGTAGCTCTTATTAAAGACTGTAAACCTGGAAGCCTCTGTATTGGCCCATGAAGGAATGTCACTATAGCTGGGTACCAGTTAGGCCTTTGTCTCCCTAATTACAACCCTTTGAGTTCGGTGGTCCAAGCTGTGATTTCCACCTATCTTCTACTCCCCTTCTGCGGTTTGTATTTCACCAGTTTGGCTATAAGGAGAGACCATGTGAAAGGTCTTGCTAAAGTCAAGTGAAACAACATCCACTACACTCCAGTGTGATCTCAACTGGTATTTTTGTTCATTTTTGGCTTACAGATATTAGTTATATACTGGCATAAAGTGACTAATGACTAATGGCTTTGGGTTTCTTACTGTTTGTTTTTTTTCCAGCATACAGGGCGAGCTGGATGCTGAAGCTGAAAAAATGAGAGTATCCCAGCAGGACTTAATTGCACTTAATGAATCTGTTTACACGCCGGATTCTGATGTAAATTCACCTGCTATCAATAGAAATCTCATCCAGAAAGCTGGCTACCTTAATCTTAGAAAGTAAGAAGACTGTTGCTATCTCCGCGTTTGTTTAGTTGCTGATAAGTTCCTACATATTTTACATTTTTAGGTCTTAAAGACTCCTCAGCTAATGATGTCTGAGGCTGCTGTGGTAGCTGCACTCTTCAGCTCCTACCTGTCTGCTGGAGATAGGTAGCTCCTACCTATCTCATCTTTGGAAATGTGTTTTAGAAGCTTAAACCAAATTGGAGGCATTTGAGATGGTTTTCCTGAATATAGAAGGTTTACTTCTGCTTGAATTCACCTATAGGGTTGATTTACTGCGTTCAAGTGGCTAAAAATTAGAAACTTTTGGGGCTGGGTTCAGATTATACCCTGTTCTTAGGGCTATTGAAGACATAGTATTTACAGAAATAAAGAGCTGTATTTTGTAGTTAATGCCTGTTTTCATAAATTACCTCACTTACATAAATAAAAACTTTACAGACAATAGCTTTGAGTGTGTACCGTACATAAGAGTTACTTCTGCAGGTTTTCCTGCTTCTGCAGGAGCTATGTACTTTGGTGGCATATAGTAACCCTGTTTATGTGATTGATTAAATATCAGTTTATTTCTATTTGACTAGTAATTTTTGGGGGGAGGAGTGGACATTCATAAATTTCTAAGAGCTGGGTTACAGTATAATAGGACTCTGTAGCTAGGGAGAAGATGAACTCTTGAGATACTACTTGCAGAAGATAAATTTTGTTAAATGATGATCCTTTGTGCTGAAATTGCTTGTGCTGCTTATCAGTTTGAAAATACTTACTTTTTTGTACAGCTTAATAATATTTCATGTCAGTTACTTAATCATAGAATGTGTTGGGCTGGAAGGGACCTTTTAAAGATCATCTAGTCAAACCAATAATTCTTTTATTCCTTAATTAGGAGATACTGCAGAGAATCGTTTTAACCTGGGATGTTGGAATTAGTTTAATTCTTCAGCTTTCTGTAAGAGTTAACCTTTGCTGGGAATAGGTGCTGCTTTTACTTCTTAACAGAGACTCATCATAACAAAATCCCAGGGTCGAACATAAAGTTCCGATTAGCATTAGGGTGTTTTTGCAGCTTCATATATGGTTGGAGTAGTTTCTAAATAGTAATGAGTCTTCACCACTGCATCTTCTCTTTAGTAAAACAGGTCTGGTGACTACAACTTGGGAGAGACTGTATTTCTTCACTCAAGGTGGCAACTTGATGTGTCAGCCAAGGGGAGCGGTAGCTGGAGGATTGATTCAGGACCTGGACAACTGCTCTGTTATGGCTGTAGACTGCGAAGACAGAAGATACTGCTTTCAGATCACTACTCCTACAGGCAAAGCGTATGAGACAGGTTTTATTTGAGGACAGCCGGTCACACCTACCCTTACAGATACTGCTTCGTGTAAAACGTGCTTGCTGCAACAGTAAGCCTTTCGGGGCTTCCAGAAGGGTGTTGCTAGATTAAAAGCATGTTCCTTTCCATCCTCCTCCACAACTGCCTGAACAGCACATGCAGTTTCCTTTAGCTACAGCTTATTTGTCATTTTTGGTCCTTTGATGGTTAATAGATAGAAAGCTTGGTGACGTTATTGTAAGATCTGCAGTCAAACAGTCCTGGTGTCAGCTCTTGGCACTGATACACTATGTTTATATTTTAGGGGTATAACCCTTCAAGCAGAAAGCAAGAAAGAATACGAGGAGGTAAAAAAATTTTCTGATGCTGTTATTCTTGTATACAAGTGATCCTGAAGAGTTCAATTTAGTTTTTCTCTTCCAGTGGATTTGTGCCATCAACAACATCTCCAGACAGATCTATCTCACCGACAATCCAGAGGTGGGAGCTTGTTTCCATCTTTCAGTCCATTTCTTCCAACCTGCTTTCCCGTTGTTCTTTACATGGCAACGTTAGGTATGTGCATAAGAGGTTTTTTTGGCCTTGTTTTCGTAGGCAGCTGCAATCAAGTTAAATCAGACAGCCCTACAAGCAGTGACTCCCATCACCAGCTTTGGGAAAAAACATGAAGTTCACCACCCCAGGTAACGCTCTTGCTTGCTGGGACTAGAGACTGCGCCTCAGTGGTGCTCTGTTTACAGGGCAGCACTCACCTGGGAGAAAGCCCTGCCAGGCGTTGGCTTTAACAGCCCTGTGCGTTCGGCACATTCCTCGTGTTTTCCTGATGGAAGCCATAAGGGATGCCAAGTGTTGAGGGCAACTGCTCCACATCATAGCTTTGAAGCTCCTTAGGGTTGCCATTGGGCTTTTGCTGTTTCTTCAGAAACAAGCACGGTGCTTTCCTTGGAAGCGCTTTGTTGTGAGGGAGTGATTTGTCATGTGGGGGATACAGCAGAGTCCCCACCACACACCCAAGGAAGTTTCTTGCGTATTACCTTCAAGCAGTTCCTGTCAGTCTGCCACAGGAATATGCCTTATGCAGCTGTCAGAATCATTACTGTTGTTCTTTTGTGCTTATTCAGCTCCATCAATAGAGCTTCCCTCTGTGGAAGATTGTTAATAATGTTCTAGGATACGCTTATATTCACAATACGTATTTTATGTATCGTTTCTTTGTGTCCATGTGATCCTAGCGTCTTGCTCAGTGGGAATTCTTCAGACTTTGTTATCAGAGTTGGCTTTCAAGCCCACTGTTGGACTGAACTCCTGCTTTCAGAAGCAATGGGATAAACAACACAGGGCAAGCTTGTGTCACATGGACTTCAGTGAAGAGACTTCTCTGCAACTGTGTCAGAAAATTGTAAACTCTTACTCAGATACTTCCAGAAATTCAAACCTTTTCCAGGTCTTCTGCCTCTCAGGCCAGTGCCTTTACTATGATTTATGATTCCCTTGATTATGATCTCTTACAGAGTCCAAAGATTCCCTGTAGCCGTGGGGAATGCCTGTCAATTTCTTTCTAATTGTATTCACAGCACAGCAGTTTCACTTTGATTACAGATTTGTAACTGGAAAGGTATTTGAGCTGGTAATGCAGCTGTAAATGTGGCCACGAGAGGGCAGGGAGGCAAACGGCAACAGTAGCCCACCCTCGTTGATCTGCATTCAGGATTAATATACTAGCATTTACTTTTTTCTTAAATAACTTTGTGTACAAAAAAAATAGAACAGATTTTATTAGTGTCCTCAGTAACAGGTGAGTAGAAAAATACTCTTATTTATATTTATGTACACTAGTTCAATCCCGCTTTGGATTTCTGAATAATCTTGTCTCCCGACACAAGGCCAGGGTGTCACTGATTGATTGAAACATTATTTTTTCTTTTTCTGTTTTCACTTTAGCCAGAATGTAAAGAATACAGAAAATGATAAAATAATTCCCAATGCATCAGGTGGCATTCAAGACTCTGCACAACTCATTGCTCCCGGAACACCAATTCAGTTTGATATTGTCCTGCCTGCCACAGAATTCCTGGACCAGAACAGAGGTGGCAGGTATGACCAGAGACAGTGATCAGTCACTTTAGAGTGATTTTAGGGGAGAAAATTGGGCATAACAGCATGTGTGCATGGCGGTCGGAACTTCGGTTAAGTTTTTATTCTTCTTTTGTAGGCGTGCAAACCCATTTGGGGAGTCTGAAGACAGCAGCAAAGATGAGGAGGGAGGTCAGTGCTTCGTTTTTCCACGTAAAAATAGTCATGATTTTAGGCCCAGTTCAGCTGTCACCTGTCCAGTGTCTCTTAATGAAAGCACCTGACACCGTGGAGCAGCGGTCACAGGCCCATAGTGCAGTTGAAGGTAGTTTCGTTTCAGAAGCCAGTCATTTAAACATCACTGCTTGTGATTACAAGCACCTTTATCCTTGACAGTCCAAGCTGTGTTACAGGTTAGTTTTATTTCAAATGTTTAAAGGGGAAAAAAATTTGGTTTGCTTAGCTGTTGACTTCTTTAGGAAGGGTTTGATGGGACTGTATTATAATTCTGCTTTTTCGAGGCTGCTTAGTAGTCATTTCTTACCCACCTGTGCTCTGAAATCCGCAGTCTGTATGTGACAGAGGCCCAGCGTACGGTTAGCAGCAGCAGCGTGCCTTTTTCAGCAAAGGAAGAGTTTACTGCTGCCTCCTCCCAGTGAAAGCCAGCAGTTCTGACCTTCCCTTACCAGCACACGTGGGGCTCGGACCCTGCCTGTTCTATGAGGAGAGGCTGAGGGAGCTGGGGGTGTTCAGCCTGGAGAAGAGGAGGCTCAGGGGGGACCTTATCACTGTCTACAACTGCCTGAAGGGAGAGTTCAGTCAGGTGGGGTCGGGCTCTTCTCTTGGGCAACTGGTGACAGGACGAGATGGCACGGCCTGAAACTGCATCAGGGGAGGTTTAGGTTGGATCTCAGGAAACACTTCCTCACAGAGAGGGTGCTCAGGCACTGGGATGGCCTGCCCAGGGCAGTGGTGGAGTCACCGTCCCTGGAGGTGTTTAAGGAGAGGCTGGATGTGGCACTTAGTGCCATGGTCTGGCCGATGTGGTGGTGTTGGGTCATAGGCTGGACTTGGTGATCTCAGAGGTCTTTTCCAGCCTCAACAATTCCATGATTCTGTGATTCTCCTCTTGCACTATGCCCGTTAAAACTGCTGTCTGGAATCCGTGACAACAACTTGTGGCAGCAGCACCTTGCTCTGCTGCGGCACGTGGGAAGAGAGCGCAGAGGTCAGGCGCCTGCCCTGCGTCTCCTGCACACGCCTGGATTCGCATAGCTCGGCTCAGGCCAGTGCTGAGAAGGCTCCGTGATGCCCCGTGTGATGCAGGCACGGCTGTTGTGGCCTTCAAACAGTCGCGTTGTGCAGGAGCCACCTCGCGTTGCCTCACTCACTGCCAGCTGTGAAGGGAGCCTGATCAGGCAATGGCTTTGTCACGTAATTAGGAGTCATACGGTGAGCAAGGAAGGATTTAATGAAAACCTCACTGGAGCTCGCTGCATGGAAGGTCAGGAGGACACAGAAGAAAGCGAGGAATGTAAAAGGCCTAAAGATAAGAGTTAGCTTGATGGAAGCCAAGGGTTGTGTGCAGTCACAGATTTAGTGCAGTTTAGGTGCACCTGATAACAAGATAGGCAAGTGAATTTTACCAGCTGATCAAATAAGGCACACAGGGCCAGTTACACTTTTAGAGCTTCCAGGCAGCTGTGATTTTTTTTTTTTTTTTTACTATTACATTTTTTCCCTACTCACTGCCAGTTCAAGTACTAAATCACCACTTGCAACAGTCACCACCCACTGCTGCATTTCCAAAGTGAAAAAAATAATTTTGTTCATAACTTCAGCTACAGGAAAATTGAAGTAGCGCAGTGAAGGCAGTCTCACCTTTTATCTTGCAGATTCCCTCTTGCAGCAGATGTTCGTAGTTCGGTTTTTAGGATCTATGGCTGTTCAGTCAGATGACACAAGTGAGGTGATTTATGAAGCCATGAGACAAGTGTTAGCTGCTCGCGCCATTCACAACATATTCCGTATGACTGAATCTCATCTCATGGTCACCAGCAAGAACTTGAGGTACTGTAAAACCTTCAATTTGCCAACATTCTTTTCCCACAACTTGTGATTAGTAAAGTGGTTTGGGTTTTGTTTTTCCAAGAAACACACCCTTTGAGGGAGCAAGATCCCAAGATTCACTTTACTGAGTAAAATATCTCCTTTCTTACTCTGTAGCATCTAGAAATCGTCCTCCTGACTAAGTTATAAGAACAGCCTGCTGAGATTTAGGGGATGCAGCGGGGCTAAAAGACCCTTCAAAGATACAGAAAAGAATTCAAAAAAATGCATTGCAAGATTCTCTTTGCTTGTGTGTAGTAACGGGTAGGGAGCCTGTCCTGGCATCAGTATCGTCCCTGTAGCCTGTATGAGTAGAAGACATTCACTTCAGCTGGAGCACGTGCGTGCCCATACGTGTGGGCCCATGGGCTCAGCATGTGGTGAGCACCAAATCAGGGCTCCAGAAAGATGCCGCGACCTGTGTGTGTCAGACAGCCGAGAGGCGGGGTGTAGAGTTGAACCCTCCCATCGACCGGCTGGAAATCCCAGACGACGCGTGTGATTCTGTGCCTGTTTCCTCATCTGTAAAACTGCTGTAGTGATTATCTTACTACTGTAAAGCACTTTGAAATTACTAAGAATCGCTCTTATGTTTTCCCTAAACATAATTGCAGGTTGATAGATCCTCAAACCCAAGTTACACGAACAAGTGTAAGTACCGAATTTTTTTGAATTTGATTTTCTACCGCAGCATTTAATGCTCAGTCACATGAACTTGAGCTCTTGACCAAGCTAACCAAATGCTGGTTAAAGCAAATAAATTCTGTATTATACTTTTTCAGTTCGAACTTGCCGCTGTGACACAGTTTGCTGCTCATCAGGATAACAGGCGACTGATTGGCTTTGTGGTTCATCTCAGCGAGACTCTGGGAGAAGAATCCATGAGCGCGTATGTTTTTGAGAGCAACACAGAAGGGGAAAAGGTTCGTGTAACGTTTAATAGAACACTGGGAAATAGTGCTGTAGAAGCAAGAGAGCTCGCTTTCTTGCCAGAAAAACATGCCTTAACATGCAAGCCTTTTATTGCTTATGTCTAAAAATGACCACATTTGAAGCAGAACCCAAGGTAGCTGGGTGTCGGGGTTTTTTTTTAATGTAGTTAGCATAGTGAATTGGCATTCCTCCTCTGCTTTTAGACCTGCATTTAAGACTGAAATTTGCATTGAGACGTCTGTCTTTTAGTTCCAGTTAAGGACCAAAAAAACAGACCACAACTGAACTTTACCTGTGTTTCTTTTTTTAGATTTGCTATGCTATCAGCTTGGGAAAAGAAATCCTCGAGGCACAGAAGGTAAGTTTGGTTCACTTCCCCTGTCTGTGTTGCCATACATCACATTCTGCTTCTGGTTGCAACTGTCCAGGTACCTCTGGTGTGTGTGAGAGCAAAGACCGCCTGTTCCTCCTAATCACAAAAGTTGACAGAGATTAATTTAACACAGATCCTGGGTAGCTCACGCAAAAATAAACGGTGCTTGACTTTTGCCGTAGCTTTATTTGAGGTAAGATTTGCCACCTTAAGTCAAATTCAGAACTGTACAAATCCAGTTACTCATGTTTGAAAGGGAGGTGTGAGCAAAGTTTTTTGAATACAAACTAAATGTGATGAAGAGTAAGTCACAGGCATTGCTCCTTCCCTTTTAGAAACTCACGTTCCTTACTCCTTTAGTGAGGAAAACTGCACAGTTGTGTTTTGAATGGCAGTTACCTAACGTAGCCTCTTGTAGCACATACGAAGATGTGCTGTGTATTTTTGACACTAAGATTTCAGAACAAGTTGGGAGGATGAGTGCTTAGTCCCAAGCAAGAAGCACAGATATAGTAACTCATTTATTTAGTTATTTTTCACTAATTAGATCAATGCCAGGTAAGAATAGCAAAATAAAGGCTAAAAATTATTTCTTTTTTTTTCCTTATATACCCAAGAGGTGGTTTTACTGAACCAAAAGGGATTTTGGTTTCAAACCTTTAGACTAAAAGTTGTCATAAAAAAAATACAATGAATAAAATTGCAAAACTTCCAACAAGAAATACTGGGAAAACTGTGTGCTCCTCAAAAGACTGCTGCCCTCTTCTGTTTTCCTTCAGGACCCAGAAGCATTAGCTCAGCTAATGAAGTCTGTGCCATTAACAAACGATGGAAAGTTTGTGCTTCTGAACGACCAGGCAGAAGAGGATGGAACCCTCCACGAAGAAGGGGAGGAGTCAGAAGCATAGGAAGAAACCACCAGCACAACCCTTCCGTTGCTTCTTGCAGCCTGTGTGGGAGCAGGAGCGGCGGGGACTCGTTGTGCGAGGATCTCGGGTTTTCAGTCATCTGCGCACACGCGAGGCCAGGCCCCGGCTGCCCCCTGGGGAGCCCGGCGGCGTTTCCTCGGGATTTACGACGCAGCGCCGGCGGGACTTGGCCTCGGCGGCTTTTTTGCAGCATTTGCGAATGTGTAGTGTGTAGCCCTGCTGGGAAAGCGGACAATCTGTGGGAGCGTTTCGGGATTCGGTTGTTTGCCCCTTGCTGCTGACAGGGCGGCCAGCACAGCTGATGGGTTAATGTGGTTTCTTCAGATTTCCATTAGTGAGAGCTGTCAACTCCCTTAACAAATGTGGGGGGGACCCCTCAAATTTCCTACCGTAGTCAGTTTTGATAGTTTCCATGATAACGTGCATCTGAATGAAGGTTAAAAATGCACTATTTACTTTTATTTCCAGATAAAGTTATTTTTAGGTTAGTTTAAGTGTAACAAAATTTATCTTTTGTGCTAGTGTATTTGCAAAACAATTTGTTAAACACTAAATTTTTCCTATTAATATAATCTATTTTTATACTGCATTTAGAAGGAGCTTACAAAACAGATCTAAGTGCCTACTCTGACCTTCGTGGGGACCACACTCGCACATTCTGTAATTAAATAATGGATGTAACGTACCTCCTTGATTTCTTAGTCTAAATACCACTGACATGCAAGCATCAGAAGTAGGCAGTGAATGTGGCACGTTAGGTGTGTGCAGTTTTTCTACGTTAGTTTTCTTAAAAGTTGCCAGAGCTGATAATTGTAGGGTGAATACTTTTTATAATAAGAATTCTTTGTATTTTTAACATTATGGTGACACGCAGCAGCTGAGTCCACCAGCAATCTTTGGTTTTAAGAAACTGAGCAATAAAATGCTAGATCGTAAGTCTACAATCTACCGACTAGTCTCAGAGTACCTTCCTGAAATTAGATAGATTTGGCTAATAAGTTTAGATTTTTTTTCCCTTCCAGTTTAACCGAAAACATGAGAAACTGTACTTTGCAAGAACGAAAATAAACAAAATAAACAGTAGCTATTGGGGGTGTGTGTCTATGAAATCTGTAGTGTAGTTTGTATTAATCAAGATAAGGCAGCTGGAACAAATGGCTGAAATTTAACTCTTCTCAGTCACTTACTAGGAAACTATATTTTCTGTAAGCAGAATCTGAATGATCTCTCTATGCATGTGTTTGACATCATAGAATATATTTTCAATTTAGCTGGTTAGTGAACGCTTAAAAGAGCCATGGAAGAAAACCCTTAGTAACTGACCCAAAAGTTTCTTTGTAAATGAAAGCTGAAGCTGTCTTATTAGCAAAAGTT